AAGGATTAATTTTTTATACGTTTATTGAATGTCTTCTTTTATATAGTGAACTGGTCTTTCACCTATTTTTTTTCCACTGAGACACATTAAAATTCTTTATATAGTTTAGATAGGAGTCCCTTAATGATCATGTATATTTGCAAATGTTTTCTCACATTCTGAATGCCTTTTTACTCGCTTAATGTTGTTTTGTTATATCTTATTTATTGAATCGTTGCTTGCTCCAAGATAATTTTCCATGATTTCTTCTGAACACTTTATTTTACCTTTCACTGAAGATTTAGGATCCATCTGGATTTGATTTTTCTTATGGTGAGAGTTTGAAATCAAGATTTACCTTTTTTCAATATAGGTATCCAATTGGCCCAATGCCTGTCTACTAGCGTCTTTACATAATGTTCTTTTTATTAGAGAATACTTAGAAGGTGATTAGTACCATAACAAATCAGCACCATTGGGGATAATAATAGATAAAATTTGTTTTTTTAAGAAAACCTCCAAGTTCGTGACCAGTGAGGCTCTGCGGTCTCAAGGTGACGCCATAGGACCGGGTGGAACTGCCCTGTGGGTTTCCGAGACGAACGGAGCAGCTGGTGGTCTGAAACTGCGGATCTTTCGGATCGCAGCCCCATGAGTAACCACCAAAGAGTAGCACATTTCTCACTCTCCAGGAACATTTTTGAGGCAAGAAACATCCTAAGAGTAGACAGGGCATCTGTCTACTCCAAGGCTACCTAGCTAGAAGGCAGTCTTCCCCCTGCTTTTCCCCACCAGCTCTATGTACTTGATACTTAGCAAAGGTTATCCCTATGTTGAACATTGATGCTAAGAAGCAGTTCAAGGAGTTGGATCTTTTGGATGTTTTCCGTCTTCTAATTGCACCTTCATCCTGGATGACCTCTAGTTCTCTGGGCTGTTGTTGTTGTTAGTGCCATCAAGTCAATTCTGACCCATAGCAGCCGTGTTGCAGCACAGACCAAAACACTGCACGGTCCTGGGCAGTCCCTGCAGTTGTTCTTATGCCCATTGTTGCAGCCGCTGGGTCAGGCCCTCTTGATAAGGGCCGTCCTCTTTGTCACTGCCCCTCCACTTTTCCAGGAACGATGTCCTTCTCCGGGGTCTGGTCTCTCCTGACAGTCTGTCCAAATATGTAAGGCAAGTCTTGTGCTTTGGGCAGGTATGTGTTTATTCAGGAACACACTTCAGGGTAGGGAACTGATGGGTAGAAAGGATATCAGGGGGCTTAGTTTCTGTTCCTGAGACCGGTAAGTCTCAATAAATGTGACTATTATTTAAATTCAGGTTAGATTTAGTTTATAGTTTATCAAAAGGGAAAAACTTTCACTTTAAAATGTGTATTTTACTTTTAAAAAGTATTCGTGTAGCATCAGAACCTTCAGACTATGAATTCTGATGCACTGCATTTAGGGTTTAGGATGGCAGGCATTTTTAGGTTTTTGAATTCAAAGTTCAAATAACGTTAGTGGTTAAGCCCAGCGTCTGGTTAATTTTCATGTCGTGATTTACTAGAGTATTGTGTACATTCATTGAATAATTTGTGGTGTGCCGTGGTATTGTGGTGGGTGCAGTGTACACACACATTTGAATTGTTTTAAATTGTTCACATCTGATGTTAGCATATGATCCCAGCCATGGTCCTGCTTCATCACTTACAAATCTGCCATTCTTTTACATGAGGGATTGGTGGGAAAGGCCTTTTACAATAAAGGCTGACAGTTCACGTTTAAGAAATCCAGTTGACCCAGGAAAGAACTCCCTGGGCATATCAGTGTAAAATTAAAGCCGTAAATCAAAACCTAATATATAATTGCCAGCATCTTTTGCTTTTTTGTTTAGAGCATTTGGTCGTTGCTAGATTTTGCTGCATAGCCAATGTCTGAGGCTGGTGTCATCCATCAAGCTATTCCCTGTCCGCACTTGTCTTTCCCACTCTCGGAAATCAGAGCTTTCCAAGTCCAGTGTAGGAGTGTAAATTTCCAGTATATCAAGTTGGACTCTTGGGAAAATATTTTCTTTCATTTCAAAAAGTCAAGTGATTTGAAGCACTTGCTGGGGCTTATTAATATTAAAAATATAACTCAAGTTACCTAATAATGATTATTTTTATAGCAATAGGAATTTTATAAAAGCTAATTACTTTATTATGATTGAAACTTTTAATTCTAATTTATTATCTTAGATTTGATATATATTGAAAATGATCTGTTTTAGCAATTTTCCCTTAGTGATTTGGTATAGGGAATAACTAACAAAATTGTGTCTTGTATTTCCAAAAGTGACTTTTTAGGAATTACGTTTAGTGTTTTCAAATGCTTGTTTTACTTCTAGCACTTTAAAGTACCATTTTCTTACTGGCGGTTTTGTATTTTAATTCACTCTCAAACAGCATTTTATATATATAGATATATGTTTTTCACACCAGTTAGTCACCCCCTTTGTTTTTGTCTTTAAACGTAAATGTGTAGGACTTCCTTTTTCACTCCTCCCTTGTTTCTGCTCGACGTCTAGGCTTCCCGTCTCCTCTGCTCATAGTCTTTTGGGGCGGTTAACTCGTCACGCTGCTCTCGAGTGTCAGCCCAGTGAAGCACGCACGTATGGTGCGCTTACGTGTGTCCACTAGGGTCTTCGGCACTGCTTTTGTGCCATCAGTGTGGCAAGCACGCGTGCCCATCATCGCCTCTCTTGACCCCGGGCTTTACCACTTACACATTCTCAGCGCCACCAGAGACTTACTCAGAGCTGGTCTGAGATAAATGCCCTCGGCATCTTAGAAAGTCTCCCAGGAGTCCTGATGGCATAGTGAGTTGGGAATTGGGCTGCCTACTACCAAGTCAGCAGTTCAAAGTTCCCCACCCGCCACAGGAGACAGGAGGCTTTCGCCTCTCATTCATCTTTCCAGTCTCAGAAACCCTGGGGGTAGTTCACCTCGGTTCTATTCATAGGGTTGCTCTAAGTCGGAATCGACTTCATGGCGATGAGTTTGGACTTTTTTAATGCTGACTCATTTCAGGTTTGACAGTAGTACTCAGAAAGATTGTTGCCCTGAGAAGAGCTTGAACCGGTTTTCTTGGGCTCAGGTTTTGCATGTGCTCATCTGTGCTACATGCTTGATTGCGGTGAGATGTGACAATGGCTGTTGGTGGTGCCGCTGAGTCAGCTCTGACCCTTAGTGACCCTGTGCACAGTGGAACAAAACACTGCCTGGTCCTGCACCATCCTCACAATGGTTCCTGTGCTTGAACATTGTTGCAACCGCTCTGTCAATCCATCTTGTTGAGGACCTTCCTCTTATGCACTGCCCCTCTACTTTACCAAGCATGGTGTCCTTCTCTAGGGACCGGTCTCTCCTGACAACACGAACAAAGTATGTAAGGCTAAGTCTTGCCATCTCTGTCTCTAAGTAGCACTCTGGCCGCACCAGTTGGCGGTGGTGTTGAAGACGTACCAAGCCACTGTCTTGGAGGCAACTCTGATTCATAGTGACCCTATATAATAGTTTCCAAGACTGAAAATGTTTACAGAAACAGCTTCAACTTCCTCCCTCAGAGAAATGGGTGGGTTTGAACCACCTATCTTGTGGCTAGGGTTCTCAGCACCATCAGAGTTCTTTGCTTTCACTGGTAAAGAAGTACCAGTAAGAAGAAATCCCCTTGTCCTTAGAACCCAGGAGAACAGAGAAGGCTGCCTCATTTTGTTGTTGTTGTTGCCATTTTGATCCTCCTGATACACAAGGGGCTTCAAAAAGTTTGTGGGATAATGATATTAAAAGACACTGGAATTTTCCATGAGCTCTTTGAAGCTCCCTTAGATAGCCATAAGGACTTTAAAAGAAAAGCAACTACAGACACTTTATGTAGGAATACTTGTTTCTTCCAAAGAACCTATTTAAATGATGGGTTTTTGAAAGCCCAAGTGCCCTAGTCCCTCCCCAGGTACAACTGCTGATAATATGAAAGTACTTTAATAAATCACAAACAGCTTTTTGGCTTTTGTCATGGAGAGAGAGGGAAAAGATGCTAGAGATCTGTCAGTTCCTTAATAGTGCAATTATACAATCAGCAATGACATCTCACTCAGAAGCCAGTACCAGCCAGGGACTGGCTAATAGACGAGATCGGTGAATGGCTGTTCGTTTTCAGTGTGATAAGGAGTTAGGGTTAAGTTGGAAAATGTCCTTATTCCTGGTATTTGAAAGCTAGAGATTTAGACACGAAATATCATGGTTTCTATTCAGCTAAAACCAGAAGGGGGAAAATAAGCAACAAAATGCCTGTATGTGTGCTTCACGCACAGGAGGAGACAAAGCAAATGGAAGAGCGTTGGAAACCAGTGGCTCCAGACGAGCAGCATAGGTGCTCATCCTCCTGTTTGAAGTGTTCAAAACTAAGACGTTAAGGGAAATAACTGTCAACAATTAATTGGCCCTACAGATCTTGTTTTCTTGTTAATTTGGTTAGATTTGTGGCAATGTTGAACATAATTAACACTGTTAAATATACCCTTAATATTGGATCCAGAAGTGCGTAAACATTTGGTCTTCTTTAAAAGCTTAAGCTTTTTCTCATGGCTGTGAAGATTTATTGATTCTAAAGTCTCTGAGTCTGGAAGTACCAGCTTCCTTCCAGGAGAGGTTGTTGGTATTTATTTTTGGAAGGAAAATGGTTTGTTTCTAATTGAGCACACACAGAATACCAGGTCCCCTGGCTGTGCAGACACCATTCCTTCTTTCTGTGGTCTGTCATTAAAACTTCTGTTGGCTGTGGCAGCCTGCGCACCTATCCCCTTTGTACTGAATGGTTTCATCCCAGCTGTATGTGTGTGGACTTCCTATGTCAGTTGATGTACTCGTATAAAATAGAGAATCATATTGTGTATGCTCGCTCCCCCTGCCTCCTTGGGTAAATGACAGGAGAAAGAAAAGTGGTTGGTTGTCCTGGCATTTATGATTTTCCTAATTATTACCTATGTTGTCTCCCTAGAGCAGAGTATTTAAGTTGCTACAAAATCAAATCCAACGACAAACCTGGACTGATGAGGGTACCCCGTCTATGCGAGAGCTTCGGTCAGTCTTGCTAGAATTTGCTTGTGCCCATAGCCTGGCGAACTGCAGCACGGCTGCCATGAAGCTCTTTGACAGTTGGATGGCGTCCAATGGCACTCTCAGGTAAAGTGTATCTCCGCTCACATGAGCTTGCTTCCTCATTTTTATCTCAGGCTGGATTCTTTTTTCCTCTTGGGTCATAAACGCTGTGAAGCTGCGTGTTGGTCTAGTAGCCCCTCTGCATCTTTGTTCTCCAAAATGTATCTTTTGATTGAAATATTGAATTGTATGATTTGTGAATTATGTGACAATGAAACTTAAAATTAAATTTAAAAAAAAGATTTACCATCTCAAAAAAACTTTTTAAAAAAGTATCTTTCAATGTAGGGATAAATCAAAGCAAGTGAGGAGTGAGAAGAAAGTAGTAAGGCTTTGGGCGGTGATTTGTTCTCTCCAGGCTCCTTACTTACCGGGCATGATGGGAGACAGTTCAATTTCAGTGAGGAATTGGGGTGGGGGCTTGACTAACGATCTTAGGAGGGCCTTCCTTAAGCATGTACTCGCCTGCTAACCACAAGGCTGCAGGCTCCTCAGAGAAAGCCCTAGTGATCCACTTCTGAACAAGCACAGTGTGACTCTGACACACACGGATCACCGCTGTGTCAAAACTAACTAAATAGCCGCACACGCCCCCCTCTGAGACGGTGAATTTGATTTTCCCATCGCCTGCTGCTTAGAGCCCTCTGTGCTTGCTCCTGTGTTTCCCCCTGGAACCCACCATATACACTATGATGTGTCTGTTGTTGAGAGCCTGTGAGCTGTAGAGGGCAAGGGACAATAATATCCTCTTTCTCTCCCTCTTTCCAAGTAAAGTCCAGCCATTGGACTGGGTTTGGTACATGCTTGAGCCCTGGTGGCATATTGGTTACGATTTGGGCCGTTAATCATAAAGGTCAGATTCGAACCACCAGCCACTCCTCAGCGGTGGGGAGGGGACCTTACTCCTGTACAGAGATACAGTCTCGGAAACTCAACAGGGACAGTTCTACCCTGTCCTACAGGGTCGCTCTGGGCCGGCATTGACTGGATGGCAGCGTGTTTGGGTTTGAGTGAATAATGATTGTATTAAATGGAATTGATATTTTTCATAGTCACCCTACTAGAAAAGTAGCAGCCACTAAATTATCCTTTTTCTTGAATCTAAATTGTTTCATAAAGCCTCAGCTGATTATTATTTATTTGCCCTGACCCCAAAACCAACCACCCCTACTTAGTAGTTCCTTTGACTTTGTGCATAGGGTGTTCATTCTCATCTGTGACCCCATCTCTTACAGCCTGCCCACCGATGTCATGACTACGGTGTTCAAAGTCGGAGCAAAAACTGAAAAAGGCTGGTTATTCCTTTTAAACGTCTATAACACACTAGGCTCTGAAGCTGAGAAGAATAAAATACTTGAAGCTCTTGCCAGCTCGGACGATGTACGGAAACTTCACTGGTACGAAACCACGGCATATAAATAATATATAGAAACCCAAAGCAGAAAAACACCGTGCTTCCAGGGTGGGAAGGTTGGGATCTCGCCTGCTCTGTACTCACAAGCCAGACCTGACCTAGACCGTGTCGGGAGGAGCCCACACATGTGCTGGGCTTCATCTCAGGGAGTGAGCCTTCACTCAAGTGCAGAATATGTTTTTCTCATGAGCGTATAGGAGACGCCAGGAACCCCCACCCCCTCCGCTCCCTGCACAAATCCTTCTCCATCTCCTTGGCACATTGCCTTAAATTCCACAGTCTGTGCTGCGTTCTTTCAGATCAAGACTTCTCCCCAAGCCATCACTTCAAAAGTAGTCCCTTCAGAAGAGAATAATAGGAAAAGGCTCATAAGTGAATGCCTTCATGTGAATTTGTCATACTCTTTTAATACCCAGTTGGTGCACCCTGGGAATGGTGGCGTCACATAGGTGAGAGGGTGAGCAGTAGGTATGCCCTGTGGGGGCAGAGCGAGTGCGAGCGTCCTCTAGCTCACCAATAGAAATGTGCTGCTGTTTGCCACCTGGCATGTGGGCCAGCAGGAGGGTCCCACAGAAAGTCTGGAGGTGGACAAGGCACCTGGTTCTCGTTGTTACTCGTATCCTGTTGCTCGGGTACACCCTAAAGGCCCCACGGATACCTTTAGCACCCGTCCAGACCCACTTTCCAAAGGACATATTGTAATCAGGTATTTTCTTGATAGTAGCAGCCAACCTCTGATCCAAGCAAATAGAAACTTTTTCATTTAAAATAAATATATACTAGCGATACAGGAACAAATTCGTAATGTAATATATTCAAGAGAATACCTAAGGCTTTAGAATAAAAGCCCCTTCACGTCTGCTCTTCCTTAGTCTCTGTTGCATGTATTTCACTGTGGCGGGTGGTGCTCCACTGGAGTACTCATACATACATGCCCATAGCCGCACCTCGAAGACAGACATCTAATCTCTACCCAGTGTTTCATGACATGGTTCTTTTTAGCACATGATCCGTCTGAGCGATTTCCCATGTCAGTTCCTAAAGCCTGTCTCCTTTGCTTTCATGGCTACAAAGTAGTCCATTGTGCGGCTTGTTCGTATTTGCTTACCTCATCACATCTTGACTGGCATTGGGGATTTTTTCCTTTTTCAAACAGTGCGTTTTTGGAGAGAGTGTGTTTTCTCTCCATGAGTGGATTGTACAGCAGAGGAGGTGAGAACGACTTGCCATAAAGAGTGAAGCTTTCGTTAGCATTTATTCAAACAGCTTCATATTTTAAGAGTGCAAACATACCTGCCTACTTAAAGTTTTTACCTGGAAAAATAAAGTCTGATTCCAATGTTACAATAAATTCGACAAGAATTTCCTTGCTTCATGTCTTTACTCTGTCAGGAACTGTTGCTGTATGACGGCATACATGACTGCCTGTCGCAGTAGTGAGTTCTTTCTTCGGTTGCAAACATGACACGATTTCCGTACGTGGCTCTGAGAGTACTTTAATTAGGGGAAGAAGATGAATTTAATTTCAGTCACTGCTTTGGAGGCTAACTCTCCTGTGCTCTTCAGGTTAATGAAAAGTAGTCTCGAGGGAGCGATCATTCGAACACAGAAGCTGCCCTTCATCATTCGAACCGCCGGCCGACGTTTTCCAGGACACTTACTGGCATGGGATTTTGTCAAAGAGAACTGGAATAAACTTGTACAGAAGTAAGTTTTCTCAGAGAATCTTCATTCACATTCTCGTGTTCTGCATTTGAAAAGTGTTCCCAGTGGTGTGTTGGTTCACAGGAGTTATCAAGAGGAAATTCTTTCAGGATAGTTTAACTGAAAGACCCCAAATCTTCACCATTGGGAGCTGAATCCCATATCGTGCTCCATTGAGCAGTGGTGTACCAGTTGAGTACTGATCAGGCCCAACCATGTCTAGCACCACGTCACTGAGCTCAGCCTGGCCAAGCTAGTGATGTGCATTGAAACAGTGCCCTTCGTGGGTTAGGATCAGTTCAGATCTTGTACCCAGCTAGAAAGCACGTAGGGGATGTGTGTGTGTTTCTGTCTTTTTTTAAAAAGTGAGAATGATTTTTTTACAGGGATGACAGGGATTTTTTGGTAGATTAAATGAATTGATAATTTAGCTGGATATCCCTTAACACACCTACACCCCACCCCCGATTTTCTGAGCTGCTGAGCCCAGGATCGGGACTCCACTCTTCCATTGGCATGGGGAGTTTACCTGAAAGCATTTTTTTTACCTTCAGGAACAGTGCTTGGCTGACCAGCAGCTACCTCATTTCCCCTGTTTGTCCTTGTGTTTGTTTCTCCAGGTTTCATCTGGGGTCCTATACCATCCAGAGTATTGTTGCTGGATCAACTCACCTGTTTTCAACAAAGGCACATCTGTCCGAGGTTGGTGGAGTAAAATGCTAGTATGAGGGTTGAGTGGCCTTTCTTCCCTGGCTTGCTCAGTGTACTCAGGATGGTGGCTTCTCATGCCAGTGCCTGCCCCTTCTCCCTGCCCTCCTTCATCAGTGTTAAGATTTACTTACAGTGGCTATATTCCAGTTCCACTCTCAACAATATCCAACTTGTTCCCTGATACAAATAAGCTTTCTAATGAATGTCAACATATGCCAAACATTTTTTAAGAATAATGTTTTTAAAATCTATTTAAAATCTTGGTACTATTTTCAGTACCCAGCCTAACTTTAGACTCTTCTTCATTTGGACTTTCCCTCTACCCCCACACCTGTTTAAAAATTTAAAGATTCATCCTTGTGGGATTATGTGGAATTCTTTGTTGAAAGAACTTCACATCTTAAAGGAGAAATACACATGATTGAGCCTCCAGAGAATCCCTTGGACCAAGGATGTGAATAATCTTGTCCTGCTGAGTGCAGTAGGAAGTGGATTGTTGCAGAACCAGTTAGGTTAAAATCTAACCCCTTTTGACCCACTTTAATTTGTTCTGATTTTGAAATATTTCTTGTTTATTTTTTTCTGGTTTATTTTTGATTGTTTTGGTTGGTGTGTCTCTTTTTTTTTTTTTTTTTATGTTTTTGAGAATGTGAAATCCAGGATAGGTAAATCTTTATAGTAACTCGATGAATGGCTTTTTGCGGGAAGGGTGGATTGGAGGGAAATGGGAAGCGAGGAGCAATTAGCAGGAAGAAGGAAGAAAATGTTCTGAAACTGATCGTGATGATATGACCAAAGTATTGAAGATTCCAAAGGAGCCTGGTGTCGTAGTGGTTCTGTGTTGGGCTGCAGTCCCCCAGCCCTGGAGTTCAAAACAACTAGTCTCTCCGTAGGAGAAAGATGGGGCTACCTACTCCCATAGAGTTACAGTGTGGGAAGTTCTGCTCTGACCTGCAGGGGTGGTATGAGTCAGCATCAACTCAATGGCAGTGACTTTGGGGGGTCGTTTTGGTAACATTGAAGTGCTTGGTATGTGAATTATATGGCAAAATTAACTTTTAAACTAAATATGTGAAAAGCTTTACAATGTTTTGTAACATTTTATTAAAAGTTTAGAAATTTTAAATAAAGAACATCACATTCTTTTATATGAAAAGAGTATTGTGAGTTACCTGAGATTCACATTCTTGTCTTTTATTTCTCCATGGAATTTACAGGTCCGGGCGTTTTTTGAAAATGAGTCTGAGGCAACGTTTCGGCTGCGCTGTGTTCAGGAAGCTTTGGAAGTCATCCAGCTGAACATGCAGTGGATGGAGAAGAACTTATACACTCTGACGTTGTGGCTGTAGCATGCACAACCGCAACTCATGTGGTCACCCATTCAGAGCTTGTCACCCTGGGCTCTCCTGCTTTTGCAAAAACCAAGGTGAAACCAGGATCGCTGCTGAGTTGTTTGCACTCTTAGGAGTTCTAGTTAGCTCAGGGCACGTCTGTATTTTTCATCTGTATTTTCTGAGCGTCTTTGGGCAATATGTAGTTATTTATTATAAAATTGTATTTACCTATATGCCAATCATCGACAAAAACAGTGATTAACTTTTCTACATCACAGATAAAGAAACGGGAAGGGGGAAATTGGTTTGGGAATTCTGTTCTGTTTCTCAAGACCAGAAAGTGCTGACTCAGTGAAACAAGGAAGGGCCCACCAGGCGAGCCGAGTCTGGCGTTCCGGCCTGCTGTTGCTCCCTGTCCCCTGTCCGGGAAGTGAGCTTCGGGTGGTAGTGAGGACAGAAGCCGGGCCCGGAGAGAACTGACCTCCCGTGGTCAGAGATACATCAGCTTGGCGATTTGATCAGTCCTTTGTTTCCTTTAAAAAAAAAAAAAAATGTTTAAATAAGGTCTACACTGGTTTTCTCCTGCAGAATAGCCAGGTGCTACCAAATTTTTAAAATTTTGCTGAAAAGCTAAACTCAAGTTCAAAAGATTATATTTTCCAAATACCTAAAACTTTCTTTAAATGTGTTATAGCATTACCATAGGAAACTGTCCCCAACGGAGTTGGCTTTAATTAGAATTCTTTTATTCGTTGATGTTAAGGTACACCTTGGTCACGCCATACCATAAACACACCTGATGTGAGAAACGCTTCTCCACCTCTGACGAGCATTTTGTGAGCACGGATGGCCATTCGTGGTGACATCTCTCCCTCCTGGGAAGAATGTGATCTGCTTACGGTGTCTTTTGGCATGATAGATCATAGATGCTTTCTCTCTAATGAAACCCATATGTGAATTTTGTTTTTTATGACAGAGTAGCATATCACAAGCCTATTTCAAAATAGGGTCTTTGAGAAACTGAACATTTTTATTTGTAATTCACCATAGTACCTTAAATAGGAATGAAGAAAATCTGGGAAAGGAGTCACTGACAGTCTGATTTGATATGGTGGAATTTGAACTTTTCCCAGCATCGAAAACAGTACTTTAATTGATAATCATAGTTTTTGTTTATTTTATTGTGGCCAAACTAACATGTTAAAAGAAATGGCGAAAGGAAAAAGGGAAATGAGGAAGAATATCCAAAACTGTCTGGCATCTTCACTCCTGAAGGAGAAATACTGTACTTGAATTTTTTCAGCTATGCATACTTATACCTAGACCTAGATTGTCGTGTTTCTTTGATTCTTAGAGGAAAAGCTTTCTTCCTAACAATTCTTGAGTTTTTTTTTCTACTTTGTTACAGCTTTGATGTACATAAAAAGGGTAGTCACCCACCTGTGAGCACTTACACTCCTCAGAGTCAGACCATGGAGAGAGGTCACCTTGGCTTATTCAGCAGGTGTGAAGTGAGATGTGTATAAAATTATATTTATTTTATGGAAGATATTTTTATAAAACAATAAAAGGACTGGCAAACTAAAAGCCTTCTGTAATCCTAGTGTGTTTTCCCCCCAGTTATTTTTTTCCTCACCATTTAACTATTGCAGAGTAGAGATCTCTATTATATTCTGAGTCTTCTAAAAAATTCTTCACAAAACTTATTGGGTGAGTTTAAGTATCCGATCCTCTGTGCTTCAGTAAATGAATGACGGGCTCATGATTTTGGAAGTGAAAGCATTTTTATATGCTTGGAGTGGGACAGTCCCAAACTGGAGGGCTGTGGTGCTGCTTTGGGTTTGGTTTCTGGGTTCTTACCACACTGTTACTGAGTTCCACGTTGATACCGAGTTGTAAGTTCTGTTACTTATCAAGAGCAGTTAGGGTTCTTTAGTTTTACCTGCCCATCTTGATATTGCTCTTGGCATATATGTTAACTCTGCATATGGCAAATCTTGTCTGTCTGTTCTTTTCCTGTGTGTGGTGTGGAAAGTATTACATGTAAATGTTATCAAAACACAGACTGAAAAGAGATAACTTATGCTCTTTAATGAACTGTGCTCTCCAAAGGTGTTCATTCCCACGATTCTGATCCATAATACCTGTTACAAATTTTATAGGTCTCACCTAAGTTCCTATAGAATTCTATGCTAAGCTATCCATTCTGCCAAGAACTAAATACTACCAACTAGAAATAGGAGGTTAAATAAGGGTGTAATGTGCAGTATAACATGGATAAATGTCGCTTTCAAAGGATCTTTTTTCCAAAAAAAGCTTTTTTCTCTGTCACTTTACTTCTAAGAACTCAAATATATTGAAGCACAGAAGTCTAAGTATGCTTTTTCGTGTAAGCACACAGATTCCACACTGAATTAAATGATGTACCTGTTTGAAAGGTATTATTTGTCTTGTATTACTGAAAGAATACCCATTTAATATTATATTACGGTATATCATACTAGATTATTAATAAAGATCGATACAATTTGAAATTATGGGAAAAAACGTATGCCCTGGTGATGGGGAAACACTAGAGTTCAGTGTGTCCTATTCATAGGAAGTAATTCAAAATAGTGGACCTAAGTCAGGGCGGCTTCCAGTGTCTCTCTACCACCCTCCGTCTTGTGGTTCCATTGAAGTCTCGTTCACTGAAATTGTGGCATTGCTCCGTGTTACCCTGTTCCTGAAGAACTCTCGCTGCCACCCACTCCCCTTAACCTCCCAAGTTGTTTGCACAGGCATTTTCACGTCACTCTATGGCCCTTGGTCTCTGTGGCAGCAAAGGGCTGCCGGCAAGTGCTGGGTCTGCACCAGTGCCGCCGGCGCCTTTCCGCCTCTCGGGCCCGGGACGCTCCAGTTCAGGGCTTTGTGTGTTGGGTTACTGAAGGAGTCTTGACCCCAAAGCTTCGGGAGCCAGCGCGGAAGTCAGATTGCAGAGCCTTCCTTTGATTCCAGGCACTGCAGGGAAGGTGTCTGTCTGTCCGAAGATGTGGCATCTCAGAGGGCAGCAGCTCCTGGCGGGGCTGGCCGAGCGAGCGGATTCGGTTAGGTGGAGAGCCTGAGCACAACAGAGCCCCTTTCCTTCCCTTTGCCTCTGACGGCTGTTTTGGAGTTGATTCCCTTCTCTTTTTTGGTCCGTTTAAAATCTGCACCTACCAATGTGAGGCCTGGTTTATGTAGACTTTCATTGTGTGCTTTCTTTTCTGCCTGAGCAGGTAAATGTCCAATGAGAAGTGGAGGTCCAAAAGTGTGTCTCCCCGCTGTCTCCTAGTGCCTGCCTGATAGAAGAAGAATTGATGGATTTCTTTGAGTGGTTTTGAAAAATGTACCCATGTGTTTGATACCTTTTCATGCCCTTCCCTTTGTGCCGTTTATCATGAAGAAAAGTGAGACGTTGTCCAGAGGGACTCCCCTCCCCCCGGCGCTCTGGAAACAGCGCCGAGAGGACGTCTTTGGCTTCTTGTTTCTGAGGCGATAACGCTGGGAGGGGCGTGAGCAGGAGATCCTTTCAAAACTGTCTGCGCATGTGTGTGCTGCGGGTTTGTGGACGCTCCTTCATTGTCCGTGCTTCCTTCACCCCTCTGGTGAGCACGTAGATGCCTGGTGGACTCTGGTGGTCCCCAGGGATGACCACTCTTTGTTAGGTCTCTCCTGTTGTGTGTGTGGACAAAAACAATGGTTTCTAGTCTTTTGAGCTCATCTTGTGATAGGTATTATGTATAATTCATTTAAATGCTTTGCTGCGGTTTTATATTTTATACTCACTTCTTTCTGTGGATTCATCTATAATGAAAATTGAGGTTCAGAGTATGACAAATCTCCTCTTTCCCTTTCCCTTATTGCCTCTTTGGGCAACCTGTATTAATAGAGTAGGGTTTTTGTTTGTTTGTTTTGGGGGGGTGGCATGTAAAGTATGAACTTAGTACATATAAATATATTTGCTACTACATTGTATTATTGCTTCATTTTGTACTCTGCCCTTCTCATGGACAGAAGTGTACCTAATGAAATGTGGAGGTCCGGATGTATAACAATCTCCTCTCTCCCCTTCCCTTATTGCCCCTGTGGGCAATAGCTAGTAGAGTAGTAGTTGTTCAACAGTTTGTCTGTCTTGGGTGGGGGGTGGGGGGGTGCTGGCTCACGGCAGGGATATGTTCTTAATGTATATACATGTGTTTACGACTATATTGTACTATCTCATTAGGTTCCCGGTCATCACGTGGACGGGAAGAGACCTAATGAACCATGGAGTTCCGGATGTATAACTATCTCCTCTTTGCCCTTCCCATATTGCCTCTGTGGGCAATCATTTAGAGTAGTTGGGGCTTTTTAAACGTTTGTTGGGGGGTTTGGTTTTGTTTCTTATCAAGGGAGATGGGGAGGGGTTTCAGGGAAATGGTATGCACTTTATATACATGTGCGTGTGTGTGTGTGTGTGTGTGTTTGCTACTTTTTTGTTACTTCACTTTTACCTTGTCCTTTTATATGGATGTTTTAATGTACTTTAAAGAAATCGAGGTTCGGTTTATCGCAATTCTCTTTCCCCTTTCCTTATATTGCCTGTATAGCTAGTACAGCAGTTGATTCATTTCAGGGATTTTGGGGGGCCAGGGGTGAGGGGGGGGCGGTGGGAGGATTAGAGGGAAGGGGTTTAGGCTAGATTATATACTTTTTTATGTATGTCCGTGTTTGTACTTGTTTCTGTATGAGCTCATCGGGTTCCCAGCCCTTCATTTGGACTGTACATTCCTGATGAACATGGAGTTCTCGATGTATAACAATGTCCTCTGTTCCCTTTCCCTGTGCATCTATAGAGGCAATAATTTGTAAATAGTTTGTGGTTTTCGAAGTTGGCCTTTTGTTTTGTTTGGGGGGTGGGGGCAGCTAAAGGCATCACATGCTTTTTTAAAGATGTATGTGTAGATTTTGTTACTCTTTTGTGCTGTTTCATTTAGTACCCAGTCCTTTGCTGGGACAGGTAGGTACCTAATGAAGTGTGGAGGTCTGGATGTATGAACCCTCCTCTCCTCCCCTGCCCACATTGCCGTGTGGGCAATCATTGTGGAGTAGTATAGGATCGGTGCCCTTTTTTTTTTAACTCGACTACCACCCTAGGGAGGGTGGGAGTGTGTACATTAAAAATGTATATAAGTATTTTTTCTGTTGCTACACTGTGTGCCTAGCTCTTTCCGTGGATACCTAGGCATTTCTCGAAAATTGAGGTTCATTCTATGAAAACAGATCTCCCCTTCCCCTTCCCTTATTGCCTACGTGGGCAACGATGAGTAGAGTAGGATTTGTGTTTGTGCTCGTGTTCGTTTGGGGACTTGCGTGTCTGAAGGGCAACTCCGAGGCTCTCTCCTCCCTTCCCCAGAGCCTGCGAGACAGCGGAGCAGTCCTGGGGGGCTGCGGGCAGGCGGGCAGGCTTGTCTGTCTGTCGAGATTTTGAGTGGGAAGTGGATGCGCGCCTGCGTGCTTGTGTGCGTGTGTGTGTGTGTGTGTGTGTGTGTGTGCTA